TTAACAGTGTTAGACTGAAAATATTCAAAAAGTAAGATATGACAAACTAATTTTCATAATTTTTTAGAGAGTAAGGGGTTGTATATATACTATAGCAATATCTTATGTTATGCATAAATATATAGTATATGATTAATTAATTGATTTTATGTGGAGAGAGAAAGGGTAGCCCTATAGTCACTGACCTAATCTATATGATGTACTTTTTTTAAAATAGTTTGGCATATTGAAAATTTAAAAAAATAATTCTTGATTTTTGTGTTCTAATAATTCAAGAATGCACGACTGTTTATAGCTTCTATGACCACCATCTTTAAGTATGGACTGAAAGTAGTGACAGACCTAAAAATGGTTTTTTTTCTCAATAGCTAAACAGTTAAATGCTGCTATTCCAAATTCTTGATGAACATCAATCAATTCATAAATATGACTTACTAATACGTGCATATAAAGCGTAGCATCGGCTGCCTTTTTGTTATACATAAAAAAATAAATATTAAAATTTTAAAAATACAAAAATATGCATATATATTTATCTGATATATGCTATGAATAAAATTTGATCGATTTGGTTGTCTCTTGGATGGCTTTAAAAAGAGCTTTAACTATGATTCTGCTTTAATTTTAAATTCTGATCCCATTATATTCGGTAGTGCCATCATCTTGTATAATTCCAAAAAGCCATCCAGAGTTGGCAAAGTTGAAGAGCACATTCTTGAAGAAATTCCTTTGATATAAAATTAGTGAAATCGAAATTTTACAAAATATTAAGCTTGTCAGAGCCTATTAATGATGTATAAGATGATCTTTGTGCTGTACTTTTAATCCAAAAATAAAAATGATTAATTCATAGCCTTTTTATTTCATTTACAATTAAATTTTGCAAACATTCATTTAATTGACCATGTTGAAGATCTGATAAAAATAATTTCTAGAGTCGGTCACTTATTCTTAATATAGCGTATAAACTATCACACACCCAATGTTTAATCGGAATCATATCAAAAAGAGAAGATCGAATGTGTCCATTAAGTATTGAGTAAGATTCTTTAATCTTATGCATATCTTTAAAAATTGTATTATATTCAACAATATTGGTTAAGTTTTCTTTATTACAATAACACCATAGGCAAAAATACTTGGAGTTTGCTGCGTTTATTCCTAAACATATAGTTAGGAACTTCTAGTCTGAACTAAAATATAGTTTGATATTCCAATGTCTTCCTTCTACCTCATAAAATCTATATTCATTTAAAAATCTTAAGTCTGATATCAAAGGTGCTAGTGCATTTTGAAGCGAATAATAATTTTCTATACCAGAAAATAAAACTACTGTATAGTGTGATTCTGGTTTATACAACTTGTCTAAGTTATTCAAAAGTACAACAATTACCATAATGTGCTTTACTTATTTGCCAATATTTCAGCTATTTCCGAATATACATAAATGCAAGGTAGATTCAAGTTTTAACATCTTTTTTTGAACATACAATGGAATTATATAATTAAGTATGTCTGTAATTCGTTGTTGTCCGTCTTTTCTGATAGATGCAATGATGTTAGAGACTATAATTAGATCTATAATATCAGACTCTTTAGTAATTAGTTCAAAACTGGTTAGCTAGTCAATATCGACTAAACTAATAAGAATTTTTTTATTTACTTTATTTATTATTTCTTGTCTTATATCATAAACTGCTCCAGCTCTAATTAGCGATTCGTCAAGTCTAGCCAAAGACCTATATGCATCCTGAGAAATTCGATTATGATCAATTAACTTTACAATAGCTTGTATCTGTAATTCTATTTTTTGTTTATTGATTTTTCCATAATTGATATTATATATAGAACCATTGATTTCAAACTTTGTTTGCTTAAGAACGATATTATCATTTTGATGAAAAAAATTTTCTTTTTCTTTTTCTACAAATTCTAGTAACCGTTTTTCTAAACCTAATATATATTTGCACTATGCTAAGGTACTATAATTATTAAATGGTTTTATTTATACTAACTCATTTGATGGTAATGTTTTACAAGCTGCTTCTATATTTTTACAGTGTAAGCCAAAAAGAAGAGGTTCAGAGAGCTTGCTTTTAGATTCTGCTCATTTCTTGTTTTAAACATCTTTAACCAAAGCCTAATAAAAATTATATATATAGTATGAAATTTGTATATGATATTAATCTGATATTAATCTTTAAAATATTTGTTATTTTACCTTACAATATAATTGTGTAGCATGAGAAGTTGACTGGTCTGACTCTACAAATTTGTCTAAATACTTTTCAAAGTGTATTTGGTATAATGGTTTATTATCAATATAATCTATTGAGCACTCAACAACATATTTTTTTTTGAATATATAGTTCGAACAACATAATTATGAGGTATAGGATGCTTTGCAAGATACTGAGTATATTTAAGTTTATGCTTTGGTAGATATACACCTTCTTTAATTATAAGATACTTGATTGTTTGATATTCATTTTTTAGAATAATTTCAGGACTTTTCAGATAGTTACTTTCTTCTTTCTATGATATTTTGGTAAATAAGGTTTTTTTTTACGCAATTGCTAAATGTGTTTTAACGTATTTTGTAATTTGTTATATTTAAATTTAACTGGTTGTTCAACTAGTTGCATTATTTATAGTCACATGTTTGCATTATTATTATTTCGATAATCAGTTTACTCAGTAGAATTTCAGTTTACTTTTATTTTTGTATGACAGTAATTCTTGTACATACATACTGTACGTATTTACGTATATTTTTTAATGGAAAAAAAATAGTTTAATTTGAAGTAATTTTGATAAAAATAAGCTATATTAATGAATAGTTCAAAGTGATTTTTATATATCTTACAAGTTTGAAAGAACCAGAAACTGCATCTAAACTGGCACAATTCATCTTGCCAAATATTATCTTTATTAAGGTTATTATTTAAAGGTTTGAATAGGATTCTACTTAGTGCATTGTCTGCAATTTCTTGATATATTGTTTAGATTTAATTAATTTCAATTATTCTAAAAATTTAATAGCAGTGATTAATTTTGAAGTTTAAATCTATTTTCATATTCGCTAATGAGAAAATATCAGGTTTTTTTCTTTTTCTTTTTAGTAATTTACATATCCGCCACTTCTTGTATAATAAATACTACCAGGATGAGATAATGTGCTATCAAATTTATTATTATTAATATATTTAATTCTCTATTGATACCATTAATTGTATTAAGATCGAATTGCAGTAAATTATCGAATGATATCTATAATATCTACTTTGTTAGTAAAAAAATAAAAAAAAATAATAGTAGCAGCATATAACGAAATGAATTATATGCGAATAACCTTGTATGTTTGAAGGCGACTAAAATTTTTTGCAATATGCAAGAATTCTAAAGAGTTATCAAGTAAAATTTATTAAAAATGTGGCATCAATCGCTTTAGAATTCTTTTACCTATGTAATAAAAATGTATAGAATTTTTACTAATGCCAAAGATCAAGGTTCGAGTCATATGATTCATTATCTAGAATTATGATTTCTTTAGCAGATCCTATATATCAAAGTAATTTTATTTTATATATTAAAGCATTTATTTTTTTTATATTAATAATTTATGCCATCTCACAAAAGCAGGTATGGAGATTTACGGGTCAGATTTTGCCATGTTTTTTTACAGTCAGACCTCTCTAAATACATCCTACAAAGACCAAACTTTAACAAATACACTTAGAGAACAATAAGGAAAAGCGTATTTATGAAGATCATGTATATTTGGGCTAGAATTAGAGTACTTATTTAGAGAGATTGTGCATTTACTGAGATCTCACCATAGTACACTTATTTATTTGAATTGTCTTGCATACTTATGATATTTGTTCTATAAATAGTAGAACTAGAGAAAAATTTAGATTAATAGATCTCTTTCAATTTGGAATCTTCGGTTGAACTTGAGAATAACATATCAAAATAAAATAACGGTGCCTTCCCTTTAACAAGATTATTTTACAATATCTAATTGTTATAGAGTTAGTATTTGAAGAATTAATTATGTGATACTATTATTGATTTCTGAAAATATTAATTTTATTTTTTTCTTCATCTTATAAATATCTAACTGAAGTTAAAAAAAATGAATGCTGGCCAACTATTTATTACCAGAAATATACTAATATGGGTTATTATAGTAAAACGTTTTAAGCTGGCCTCTTTTGTTGAAATATGTTTGGAGCTAAAAAGAATGAAAATAAAATATTTATCCTTTTTCAAAAATATGTAAAGATGGGTTATATTCTTGGAGAGAATATAGTAAATCGCTATTATACAAATAGATTTAGAGTTGAATATCAACATAAAGCATGTGTTTACTTTCAAAAAGATAGAATCTGACGAAGAAAATTAGTAACTAGTAGGTTTTTAATTTTTTTTACTTTTTGCTTCGTATTAAGATTTTTTTTTTTATTAAAAATTTATCTAATTTTTTATATCAATTACTACTCATACATTATTAATGCATACACTAAAATGGTGAATATATAGGCATCCACTTTTATTACTTATATATAGTCTTTCATTTTGTAATATTTTCTTAAAATAAAACTTGCTTTCATTATAAATATACATATATTTTCAAAATAACGGGCATCTGTGTGTTATTTCAAGTATGCCTATAAGTGTTATTTCGAATATATAGGCTAATTTTCTAAAGTGATATTTAGTCAAAAGAACCAGACTTCTTAGGGCCAGTCCAAAATTAATCCAAATAAAAGTGAATTATAAACAATACTTTTGGTATTTTACTTTCAAAATTAAATAGTGGGATGCACTATTTCGAGACGCGCATAAGTGTTATTTTAAATTCACATATGCTATTTTTAGAGAGCACGATTTTCAAATAATGCCCATGCCCGCTATGTTGAGAATTTACAGTATATATAACAAATAGTTTATATATTAGGTAATTAAAAAAATCGCTAATTATTGCTTAATCAGAATCATATCAAAAAAGAAGATTGAATACGTCCATTAAGTGCTGAGTAAGATTCTTTAATCTTATACTTATCTTTAGTAATTGTATTATATTCAACAATATTGATTAAATTTTCTTTATTACAATAACACTACGAGCAAAAATACTTGGAGTTGCTGTGTTCATTTCTAAATATATAGCTAAGAACTTCTAGTCCGAACTAAAATATAACTTGACATTCTAATATCCTCAATCTCATAAAATTCATGTTCATTTAAAAATTCTACGATGTCTACGCGGCTAAATTTTATTTTTTGAATAGTCAATTAAGATAGTTCTGTAGTATGATATGATGCAACTGATAATACTTCATTAGATCAAGACAAACCTCATAGATTTGCCTTCATTAAAGGTTTTCGTTATATATTTCTTATTGCTTTTTTGCTTTAATACATTTTTGCTATCATCTAATATTTGTATACGATAGATAATTTGCAAAAACACGGTTTTGCAAAACTTAGAACTACCTGCCTTCACCTGGAAGAGCTCATTTTCTCATTCGTATCATCGAATTTGATATCTGCTATCTTTGCCTTGAGTCTATTGTGGCAAAATAATAAATTAAAGTGTCTAAAAAAGTAAAATAGTTAAATAAACGTATTGTATGAATGTACTTTTTTCTGTCTTATACTATGTATACAATTTCACCGAATGCATATTGGTCTTTAGACTTTTCAAATATCCTGTTTATAAGAACACCCAAACTCTCTATTTTTATTTATTAAAAAAAGATAAAGTCAAAATTAGTGATTCTATCAATAATAAAAAAAATCAACTAAAAAATTTTTCAGATAATCAAAGCTAAATAAAAATATAAAAGTTTATGTTAGAGCTTGTATTAGAACCATCATAATTTCTTCGTGATTTACTATAAAAATTCATTACAAACTTACCAACTATTACAGTGACAAATCAACTGATTTATTATACCTTTTCATCATATAATTAATTTCTCCCTGATATCTTAATACCATTGTATTGTCCGGTTTAATTTTTAATAATCTGGTTAAATTCTAAAATGTTTTATCATATTTCTTATAATAATATATATTTTTCTTCAATAGCTCAATTCAAGTAATATATTATTCAGCGATTTGATTAATTTATCTGCTAAATTAGCAAGCACATTTTCGTTTTTACCTGTAATAAATAAACTTTTTCTTGGCATTCTATTGCTAATGTATTCATTAGTCATCACTATTAATTGAATAGTTATATAGATAAGTTTAAATTTTAGAGAAGCCAAAAATGATTAAATCTTTATCAGAATATTTGGCCAACATTCACTTTAACAGATCAAACTTGAAATCTAAATCCAATACAGAAATATTCAGTAGAATGTTTTTAAAATTACTATACAGAGGTACGTAATTTCTTAAAATATCTTATCTAATTCATCTTGTAAAGTATAATTTAATTTCTATTACTTCTATTTTAGTAAAACACATGTATTATCTTGTTTCTAAAATTTAAACATCCAATAATATCACCAATAGTACAGTCAGGGATTTTACCATATTTGGTTATCGATGATCGCATCTTATTTAGTAATGATCGTTGATCGGAAAATTCTAGCTTTTTTTCCAGATTGTTCTACGTATTACAAAATTAACCAATCAAATTGAGAATCTATATTATCGATTTGCTTCAACTTTAAGTAACTCCGTAAGAAATACTTATAAAAAATTACGAGATGCACATATGCAATTTATTTCTTCTTGTTTTGGTGACTTTTTATTTGAACAAAAGTTATATTTATATTCCGTGATTGAAGAAAGAAAACAGGTTATTATTAATGATTTTGATTATAATATACGTATCATTATAATACGACTCTAAGTTCTGACCAAATATGAAGTATATGCTTGGTCTTTATAAATATCATTTCTCTTTAAGTGCATACTGCCAAAAGTCTGGCCCCAATGAAATGCACTCAGAGAAAGTTAATTGTAATAAACTTTTCTCATAATGAACCTTCTAATGAAAAAAATCCTGGTACTAAGAAAATTATTATTAATATTTACAACGCCAAGTTCCGGCGAAGATACATATTAGGTTACAAGAACGAAGAAACATTCACAAAACAGCATTATATTATCACGAATTTTTATTGTATAAGTACATTTTTTAAATAAAAAAAAAAATTTGCAAAAAATTCTATTATTACATTTAAAAGATCGTTTTATATCATGTATAATATTAAATAATATTTATTAAATTCATATAAATATATTGAATAAATTAAAGTACTTTTACCCAAATACGTGTCAATTGATATTCGAACTGAATATAAATAGCTATGCTCTTTTCTCCTTGTTAGTATTGCTACAGTCAACTCTTTCTATAGCAAACTGACATTTTTAAAAAGCCCATATTCACTTTGTACCGAATATTTATTTATTTATTTTTTTTTTAGTTTTAAGGTGACCTCTTGGTCGATTCTCTTTATTCAGTTATTAGTCAAGTTTTACCATACGCTAAGCCCCTTACGA